GAAGATGGCAAGATTTGGTTTCCTGTACTTTGGGCATTGTATCAGGAGATATCAGTCCCCAGAGAAGGACATCAGGCTTGGCAAAGTAGTAGAAGTGCATCAAAAAAGGGGAAGGCCTTCCACAAACTGGATGGACACAGACGCTGAAACAAGGGGCTCAAACTTAGGAGCAGATGGGAGGAAGGCACAGGACAAGTCTTGTTGGTGTTGTTGTTTCTAGGGTCTGTACGAGTCAGCCCCAACTGGACGTCACCTGATAACACCAGCATATATATGTGCTATACAGGAACAGAAGGTGTGACTCAAAATTGTCTTAATGGTAGCGACTCTGATGAGTTTGGCCCTTCTCAAAAATGTGTGCTGACCACTGCCCATTCCAACTCACGTGACAGAATAACACTGCCCTGTCAGGTTTTCTTGGTGGTAATCTTTACTGAAGCTGCGTGCTGCATCGTTCTTCTGCAATGCCCCATGTGAGTTCAAACTGCCTGCAGCTGGGCACTGGCCATCCTAACAGTGAGGAGTTTAATCCAGGTATGTGATTCAGGTGAGGGTCTGGGGCACTGGCGGCATGCATGCTAATAAAGAAGTAGGATCATTCAAAAGAAAAGAGCCCAGAAGAGAAAGGATGGCAGGAACCTGAGAAATCTTCTGACCCCAGGGTAATATGACTCACTGAAGACCATGCATCTCCTTGGCGGCCGGGTCAGAGCTTCACCAAGGAGTTCTTCTGACAACTGTTACTCTGTAGAATGGAATGGCATCTTAAGATGGTGTTATGGATTGAATTGGATCTTGCACAAATACATGTTGCAAATCCTAAGGCCTATGGAGGTTATAATTGCATTTAAGAATGTGTTTTCTTTGCTAACAAGGCAGTATTTGTGTACAGTGTGCTTCAAGTAAGTCTTTTTTTTGAGATATAAAAGCAGATTAACCAGAAATTGAGGAAGACATATGTCATGCTACACGAAACTCCTCAAGGAGCCAGTGAAGAGAAGCCCAGAGAGATAGGGGCCTTTGGCAGAGCCAACAGGGAGAGAAAGCCTTTTCTTGGGCCAGCACCTAGCTGGGCTTCTGGTCTTTTAAAGAGTGAGAAAATATTTTGTACTTTTTTAAGGCTACTCACTTATGGTATTCTCTGTCACAGCAGCACTAAGATTTACCACAACCACCCATCGAAAAGAATACAAATAAAAGGGACTCTTATAGATTGGATTATGTTCCGCTCAAATATTATGTTAAAATCCTAACCCCTGATGCTTTTGAATATGACCTTGCTTAGAAATTGGGTCTTTAAAGATGTTATCAATTAACAGCATGTTGTACTGGAAATATGGTGGGTTCTTCTCCAAGATCAGTGATGTCCTAGATAAAACAAGAGACTCGGAAGGACAGATAGAAGACAGCCATCTGAGGACAGATACACTGCAGTTGGCCAAGTCAAGAGATGAGTAGGGCTACAAGAAGCTGAGAGGCTACAGAGAATCTTTCCTGAGCACTTTGGAAAGAATATAGCCCGGCCAAGACCCTGAATTTGGGGCCACTAGCCCCCAGAGGTATGAGACAATACATTTCTATCCCTTTAAGCCATTCAATTTGTCATACATTGTTACAAATCTCATTGTTACGAATACCAAACAACAACAACAAAGTGCCCACTGTCATCCTGTTCAGGGGAACCTAAAGGACATAGTAGATCTGCCCCAAAGGGCTTCCAAGGCTATATAATCTTTATGGAGGCAAACTACCATGTCTTCTCCCATGCTGCTGCTGCTGCTGCTGCTGCTGCTGGGTTTGAACTGCCAACCTTTTGGGTAGCAGATGAATTCTGAACCACTGTGCCAACAGGGCTCCTTGGAAACTAATACAGGGTACATCTTCTAAGAGAGGAAAGGGCTTTTACTCTAATGAGGTAGAAAACATGCAACTGCCAGGTGTCCCTTTTCTCCTCCCAGGTCTCTGATTGGTTGTTGTGAGCACTGTGGTGAAGTGAAATTGCTTGGTCCTTCTATCCATAGTCTTTATAACTCCCACTCCAGCCTGGCTCAAACTCATTGCCATTTACTTCACTCTGATTCA